TAGCAATGGCCTCCAACCTACTTGCGATGACCTCCAACATCCTCCAACATAGTAGCAATGGCCTCCAACCTACTTGCGATGGCCGCCAACCTAGCAGCAATGGGCTCCAACCTACTTTCGATGGCCTTTAACCTAGTATAGCAATGGCCTCCAACCTACGTGCGATGGCCTCCAACCTAGTAGCAATGGCCTCCAACCTAGTAGCAATCAATGGCCTCCAACCTACTTGCGATGGCCTCCAACCTGGTAGGGAGGGGACAAACCGAAAAGCCAAAACATGGTGGCCACGTGACACAGATGGCACCAGTTAAGCAGATTTGGAGGGCAGTTGGCAGGAAGAAGATGGAGAAGTGTTGTCCCATTCTTCGGTGGATGTTTAAAGTAGTCATAGTTCAGCGTCAGTTCGTTTTGGTTCGTTCGTGTTGTTCGCTGCTTACCTACAAGGATTCGAGGCTGCCTCCTTTCATCATTGATTGATCCTATGTCGCAAAGTCCAACTCTACATTGTCCTACCTCAGCAATTGTTCTACTGCTGGGGTGGCGCTTGACTTTGTCCATGAGGATCACAATTTGCTGTGTCCGTTATAGAACTGAGGCCCTCCATTACCAGAGTGGCAAGCGATGGCGGAGATTGCAGTAGTGGATGAGCCTGGAGGGCAAAGCCTGGGCTGCTTGGGGAGACTGGGGCAGCAGATGCTCACAGATTTGATTGTTCCGTGGGTGAGATGTGGTGAGTATCATGTTCACTTTGAGGATGGTATCCCATGGTCCGGCCAAGCAGATCTTACAAACGACCCAGATGGTCCACCTGGAGTGCTTGTCTTGCGGCCTTTGCTCAGCTCAGGAAAGGAGCGACCTTCCAAGAAGTGGACAGAAATTGCTACCACGTGAAGAATCTCGGTAGCAAAACCGCAATGCGTTTCTCATCGTGCGCAGTGTCTTGTTTCAGAAAACACACAAAGTGCCCAGCGAACTGTCATTTTTTGCCCCCAATAAACCCCCCCTCCAAAGTGAACTGCGCACGACCCGGTCTTGCATGTGAACTGCCCAGCGCGATTTAGCGCTGTGAGGTTCACCAAAACGAATGGTGAAGGTCCCGCTGAGGGCTGGGTGCCATACTACGTGAAGGGGCAGCGTGTGGCCAAAAGGATCACCGAGATCCTCTGGCATGTGGCCAAGCTGAAGACCTTTTTCGTCAGGGCCATCCTGGATATCTAAAACCAAACCACCAACCTAAAGACGCAATGGCCTCCAACATCTAAAAACCAATAAATGGAATGATTTGCAGCATAACCTTCTGACCTTGAACCGTACCTATCATACCGCACAGACCGTCATATGACCTTCCCTGTTCTCTCCTTCGTGGTTCTCGCGAGGTGAACCCGTGGGGGCGTGAAGAAGAGAAGGAGTCCAATGTGACAGATGACACGATGTGGCAGAAGATTCTACAGCTGGATGTGGGCAATTTCCCGCTCTGCACCGCCACCGGTTTCTCGATGCTCGGCTCCAAACCATCGATATGCGTTGATGCGCTGTGAAGTGCCAGATTATCAAGGATGATTTGTATGGACAGACAATGTCACATAGATAGAAGCAGGCGCCAAATCTGCAAAAAAACGTTTTTCTTTTTTTAATAATATATATTTGGTAAATATCATCCATTTCAGGCCACCGCGATTAGGTTAGAGGCCATCGCTGTTACCTATTCGAACTTAATATTATTGGTATTCCATTTACGGCAAAAAGCACGTTGTGTTGAACTCAGTTCTGCCAGCCTTGCTTCATTCCCAAGGAACCGCTCCAAAGAGCAAGCTTTGCGGGAGACTGGGAAGTTCACATTGAAAGGTTTAGAACGAAAAGAGAACGCGATTGAAACGAGCTCCTTGGGTCGGGTGTTGGACACGAAGTGCACCGAGTCCGGATCTGTTCACCCTCGTCCTTCACACCGCGTTCGTGTAGGAAACGTCCAACCCGCACCGAGTCCGGTCGAGACGAACGAACTGAGGATGGGCTGACGGAAAGCCACGCATACTCGGTCCTGTATCTCGCTGCCGGTGATTGCAACGGGCGACGGTCGCACCTTTTGAGATGAGTGACAGTGGATCTATTTGGGTAAACGGATGAACGGAAACTGCGAAGGTGGGCACTCTTGGAAAGTGTCGATCGTAAAAATGAGAGACACGTTGAACAGGAATGGCAAACACAAATGAAAAACGAAACCAAGATTGGTATTGATTCACGGGGCGCAGTGGGACACAACACAAGGGGCGAAGTCGTGTGCCAATTCTGCAGTCGTGGGGTCTGTGGGGTTTTTCACGGCGGTGAGACGAGACTCGAGGCATGCACTTGTTACTAATAGTAAGGCCCTTGTTTCTACTAGCTTCTTGTTACTACTAGTAAGGCACCTGTTACTACTAGCGTGGCACCTGTTACTAGCGTGGCACTTGAGGCATGCAAAGGAAGCTTGTGGTCATCGTTTGATTTGCCTCCGAAATCCATGGGGCCACTGGGAATGGAAAGGTCCCTGGAATGATGCTTGGTACGCAGACGGCGGCGAGACGTCGGCGAGACGACCGACATCGAGACCGAGACCTGTCCAAATCGGTCGCGGTCGGTGGGTGATTTTGGGTCGCTTGCTTCAGGACAAAGGAGAGGAATGGCGACAGAACCCTGGCGTGGCGAAAGCATTGCAGGTGGATATGAAAGAGGATGGTGTGCCATGGTTTGCCATAGTGGGCGTGTGTTCCACGTTCACGTTCATGTGGATGTGTCCATATGAGTGTAGCCGATCCGATCCGATCAAGTAAGGGATCAGAAATATCCCCCTAATTCAACGTTGACTGGACTCCTGACATGTGCTGATGACAAACTTCACGCGACAACATCCAAGTTGGGGAAACAGGGGATTGGAACAGCATGAAACAAGCCGACTCGCGATGCTAATCTAAGAAGCCTTTGTGTTCCCGAAATGGGAAGGGTTCGACAGGTGTTTGAAACGCACGGTTCCCGACCGAAAAAAGGCCGACCGGTGCCCGCCCAGAGCGGGTCTCTTTTGGTTCAGTCGCGCTCGGCGCTGAATCGGACGAAGAACCAAGCGGTCTTATGTCAAGACAAGGACTGACGGAAGTGGATGCTCGCTACTGGAAGGGTTTTTGACAGGTTGGTCTTGGTTCAACGCAAAGTGACAGTTTTCACGAGTCGACCGTGAGGTATTCTGGACAGACTATGAAGACTTCAAGTGGAACTTCTCTATCATCTTTCAGACGAAAATCGCCATGCCGACCAAGCGCCGGGGACAGGACTGGGCCGGTTGCCACCGCAAGTTCAGCGGTTCAGCGGGTTTGACGCTTCTCGGACACACGTGGTTTCCCACTGTTTTCTCAGCACTTGTAGTCTCAGAGTTTCGAAGCGCAAACTCAAACACGACTTGCGAAGCTACTAGTAGCTAGTGTGGCTACTTGTGATGCCCTCCAACCGAATAGCGTCCTTATTAGTAGCAAGGACGCCATGAGTGGTGAGAGTCCAGGATGAGCTGGTGGAAGACGATGTGGCTGCGTGATGCGCCGGCCTCGTCGGGGTTGCAGAAGCGAAGCTGAGAATTGATGCGGTGGTCACGGGTACGTAAAGCGGAAGGTTGGCAGTGCTGGTTTGGCCGCTTTCTTTGGTTGCTTCCGCAATTCCGGGAGAAAACTCAAATACATCTCCAACGCAAGCCAAGTTCCTTCTACCTGAAGCTGCAAAGCAGCTTGACACTCAGACAGGGTGCAGGCGACAATGAAAGAGTTCTGTCGAAACGATAATTATTTGGATGTCATCAAAATAATGGCCCCGCTCCGAAGCAAAGCCTGAGACCCTGCAGTTGCTTGGCAGCTTCGGAAGGATCGACTCTGAAAAAAGGTTCAACCCAGTTGCTTGTTGCTTCAGACAGAAACTCCAGTTGTATCCTGGGCTCATCCGGGGAAGCGGCTCGCTTTGGCTCGCATCTTCGCAGTTGGTCGGCACTGCTGTTTGCCGTGCTGCAGAGACATCGAAGCAAAGCTCTTTGTCTCAGCAATTGCTTATGACTGCTGACCATGTTTCAGACAGTTTCAGTGTTAACATGTGTTTTTAATAGAAGCACCCGCGGTACAGGTTGTGTTGGAAGAGTCCTCGCTACGAATGCGAAGTCCAAAATAAATCAAAGCTGCAAAAAAAGCAGCACACAGCAGCACTATTTCCGACATTGGGATATGCGGTTTGTTTTGAAGCAAACTGGGAAGCATCATTTGGTGTCTGGACAAAGTTTCCAGTCGACGGCACTTTGAAGAACGAATTGGAATGGAGCACAAACAACCGCGGCAACCAAGTGTGTCTGGTATGGTGAATGTTCGGATGTAGTGAAGCTGTAGCAGTTATAGAACGATCATGAAGGATGTCGCATTTTTTTGCTCTACGGCGCAGACCGGAACGGCACCGAGTCCAAGTTGGAAGTTCCACTGGAAGTTCGTGTCGGATGATGTCAGATGGGAGAGCCAAACCCAACTCAGAGGGTGCCTGGCCGTTTGCTTTTTCCGTCGGTGTCAGTCGCTTATGTCCGATGGAGTTCATCGGACCGGGACCAGGCGTGTTTGTTCTTCGTCGCAGATCGTTTCAGCCGATCAAAACGGACAACGAATCCGTCGTTGGGCGCCAAAGAACGACAACACGGACAACGTTGGACGGCACTTTCAATACATAGTAGGTAGAACGGATCATAACGGAAGTACTAACGGTGCAACAGCACCGTGGCAATTTCCTTCAACTCTTTTTGAAGTGCTGCAAACCACAGAAACACGTTAGAAACACACACATGCCCGGAAACTGATAGGGTTGGATATTGTTGTCAAGTGATGTGAAGCGTGCCTTTGAGTGCATTCGGGTGCTATGGCAGATCCAGCGCTCAGCCTCAGCTGGTGCAACGCCATTGGAAGAGGTTTCAGGAAAAGGTGATGGAAGTCATTCGGGGAATATGGACGAAATCATGAAGTGCAACAAACTGAGCGGTTTCAGATGGTTCAGATGGTCACATTGGCAGCTTTTTGAAGCTGCAAGTGCTCTTTTGCTTGCTCCGTTTGAGGCCAACCGGCCGACCCTCCTGGAGGAGAGTGGCAAACGCCAACACAAAGTGATGAATGGCCATGTCTATCCATGTCTGTCAATCCAATTTTTTTCCCTTTTTGATGCTTCCTTCTTCCTGCTTCACTTTCATCACACTCTCGTTTGCTGCGTCGTGAGTGGTTGCTCAGGAGCGGCGCCGGCGTTCGCCCACCAGTCCACCCTCCATCCCGTGCGAACCACCGAGACCGGTCGCAAACCGAACGCCACGGGAGGTGTCACGACGCGCTTTCGGGCAGGGCAGGGCGATCACGAGGCGGTCATCATGTATCCAGTCTCATGAGTGTCGTGTCCTTCGGTTCGGCATTTGGAGATGCCAAGCTTCGAGATCTTCGGCTCCCCAGGTCTTCTTCCAGTTCAATGTCAAAGCAACTGGTGCGCCGACGGGTCAGACAAGAAGGATTCAAAACGAGACGGTGCAGGAGACGAGTTATATTTACTAGTTACCTCTTATAGGGTAAATACTTATTATTCAAACATGCATGTTAAACGAATGGCTGACTTTGAAGAAAGAACAGTAAAGGCCATATGAGGCAATAAAGGTTCCGCATAAGAGAAAGGTCCGCCAAAGCTCGGCGATTCTTTCACGACGCACTTTTACGGCACGCTTTTCTCGCAGGGGTCCTTTCGGGAGCGGCAGGAGGCCCGACGGATGCCGAAGGATCGAGTCATGGTCTGTTTTTCTAGCTCTTAATTGTAAAATTCACTTCGAATTTGGGATTGAGATATTGAACCACCTGTAGCAATGCCTATGGTGCAGCGCGTGGTAGGTTGGACGACTGAAGCGAAAGGACGACGTTGAGCGACGGCGTTGGACGACGGTTCCGTCGGTTCCAGGCCTTGCTGGCGAAGCAGGGTCGGTTGAATGCCACCGCAGCCTCGCGCCATGCTGTGCCGATGGAAGAGGCGGAGCATGGCGGAGCCAGCGAGTTAGCAGCTCTTCGTTTGAAAAGACACGTGTGTAGAGTGACCGAAAGCAGGGGAACTCAGGTGGCCCTGAGTAGACGATTTGGCTGCTTTTCTGCGCAGTTGGTTCACTGATAGCTAGAATGTGTTTGCCTCACATTCACATGACCAAGGGGACGACATAGATCAGACACTTCAACCGCCAAGCGCACGCCTGGCCCCAAAACTGCAGGCGGAGACAGATGATCTCCGCTCTGCTGCAGGCAGTGTGGCCAGCCGCTTTGGCAGGTTCAAAGCTGCTTCAGAAAGGGTTATCATTGTTCCAAGTGGCTTGGGCAGAGGATCTCCTGAAGAACGCTTGGGCAATAAGGTTTTGACAAGCAAAAGAGCCTTGAGTCGTGTGACCACGATGTGCTGAAGGGCACTCCAGGTACATATTTGGATAGTCTCTTCTACCATGGTAATGGTCTCATCTTCCAGAACTGCTCGTATACGTCTTCTTCGATCTTGTTTGGACCTCCTCGCCCTTCCCCAGGTGTTCTCGCCCTGCCTTTGGTGTGTCTTTCGGTTGAGCCCCGCGCTGGACTTGGGACTTGGCGACACCGAGGCAAGGCGCCGTCCTTGCATCCCTCGGTGGCCAGCTCCATGGGCCTCTCCGAGCGCGGCGGCCCAGGGCGGAAAGTAGGAACAAGTGCAGTAACAGGTGCCTTACTAGTAGTAACAATGTTTGCTATTAGAATTAATTAAATAATAGCTTTTTGTTAGTACTAGTAAGGCACTTGTTACTACTAGCGAGGCACTTCTTCTAAATAATATCAAATATATATAAGTATATGTTTATCAGAAGAAGATGGACGAAGATCCAGAAGAAAGGTCTGAAAATCATTGTCTTTTTGACCCGTTTCGTGTGGTGTTTGGATGCACACATCGCCACCAGCGGAGTGACCGCGCCCGTAGGGTGACCTTGGGTGCCGGTGATGACACCGCCTATTGGGATTTCCAGCATCGCAAGGCGCGTTTCTTCGCTGAAACAGGTTGAAATGGAAGTGGAGACATGAAAGATATTGAAAGAGTATTTTTTGCAAAACAATAATCCGATAACAAAAATAACAATTGGGTTTGCGTAATAAACCCTTTTGATGAGCAAATAGACTATTTGGCCAGAAACACACTCATCCACTTTGTCCGTGGAGGAACAGTGTTTGACCAGTCATCCCTTCACTTCATCGTTTGCAGATGCCGGGGTGAACGATCGGTGAACGTGAAGAGATCGCCAGTTCCTTTCGTTTGGGGCCGCTGTTGGGGCCACACCCGCTGGCTGTCGCCCGCGGAAATGGCGTCGGTGTCGACCTCGCAGGTCGAGAAGAAAGATTTGGGGCACAAGTGCTTCGAGTGCAAAGAGACCTTCAAATCGCCTGGGGACACAGAGACGACACGACACATTCTCGGGTCCTCGGAGGGAGGGGTTCAGTCTCGGTTCAGTCTCGCGTTTTCCGGTGGTGGCGTTTTTGGGATGGGGAAACGGGTGTTTCTATCCACCCATTTTTTTTTGGAAGCTCTATTCTATACATGATAGATTATGGGTGATCATGATTGAAAGACAGAAAGAATCTGATCCAATAGATGGGGGTGACCTTCCGACAGAGTGGGTCCACTGCTCAGTTCGTCCACGGTGACACGTTGACTCTTCGAGATCACCCAACGGCGGCATTCCCTCGGTGGGTAGCTCGATTCCGTGCTCGACGCATCGCCCGAGGGCGGGAGGAGGAAGATGTTGACACCTTCCAAAAGAGGGGCGATTGGCATTCATTTGGCATCGCTACCAAGAGCGATCGGACGCTATTAGGGGCGCTCCTGGCCCTACTACTCTACTAGTAACCAGGGCATCACTACTATAGGAACAAATTGGAGTTGCTCTCCCATGTTTCATCCAGAAAATGGTGGACTGGGAGGATCGGATGGCGGATAGCCCGACAACAGTGGTTCCGGTCTACTACTAGTGCGGTGCCCTTTATGGCGCAACTGGAGTCAAACCATCACTCCAAGTCGTTCTATCAGATATCAAAAGAGACATTAGCATTCATTACATACTCACGATATTAAATATTACTATGACTAATATATTCATTAAATTTAATCTTCATTAACCAGTGTATATGACTCCCACGGACTCGGACGACCGGACTCCACTCCCACGGGACGACCCCTCCGCCGCGAGGCTCGGAGGAGCCTTGACCGAGCGCCGGGGCGGCCGCGTCTCCATGAGGCGCGAGGGGCGACCTGGCTCCTTCGGTCTACCCGAGTTGTCTGCAGCGGGTTCGGTTCGGGGAGTGGGGGTCGGGGGGCAGTGTTTGGTGGCAGGGTGTAGAGTCTTGAACGGAAGGTGGCTTTCGGGAGGGATGTGTTTGTTCGAGCTGTTTTTGTTCGAAAAAGACACACGGAGCACACGGGGCGTGCCGGTGTCATCGCTCTGGTGAGTGGAGTCCGTGACGAGCAGCACGGTGAGAGCTTTGCTGCACGGCTCAAATAGCAGCCATTGGGAAACGCATTAATTAGCTTTTGGGGTGAAAACCATCAATCTGTCCACACCTGGCGTTCCCTTTTTGCCAACTATTTGAGCTGCTTTGCACCGAAGGCACTCTAAAAAAACCCACAAAATAGACCTCCCTGAGTTCGGCCCATAGATCGGCCCTTTCGTCTAACTGTTCGGAACGCCCCGTGCGAAGAAGTGCACGGCGCAGTGCGCACAGTGCGCTTTCGAAGCGCTCAGATACCATGGAGAATGCTTCAGCGGCTTTGCGGATCCGCGATCCCAGGCACCGCCACGGGAGTCCGAAACGGACGGCGCGCGGATGTGCGGTGCGTTTTGGGGTTTCTTTCGGGCCGAGAGGAAGCAACAGATAAGCTCATCCAACGTAGGGTTTGAAAGGAAACTCATTCATGGCTCAGGTTTGTCCAAGAAACACTTGCTTCACCAAGAAGTGTGTCCAAATTATGAGTGTTTAAAGATCTTTCTTCAAAGGGATTGGTGAAAATCAGAATCAGAACTCCAATCTGGCCAAGAAAACCCAGCTGAAAACTCCGCAAAGCTGTCGCGCTTCTTCTCTTCACCCGTCCCTGCGGTGAATGACCGGCGCTCCGTGTCTCGGAGGCGCGCTCCTCGCACCACGAAGGGCGCCTCGCGGGGTCGCAGCTCCAAGCAGCACCGCAGGAGAAGAAGGGAGAAGAGAAGGGTCGGTGTGAGAGAAACGCGATTTCGGGTGGAAACCAGGTGGGGTGAAACCAGGTGTGAAGGTCGGATGAACATGTGATTGGAGAAGGTCTTCCGGCCTTAAAAAGCGTCTCCGAATGTAGTCTCTTCGTGTCGAAACGGCCCCAGCGGTCCTCCAGGAGGTCACCACCAAGATGCGCCACTCGTTTTGAAAAGCCCGAGTGGTGAGACGCCGCTGTGGCGGGGGCGGGAGAGATTACGTTGCTCTTGAAGAACCACTTCAGAACGTGGAGGAGTTCTTTTTTCCTGTGAAACTCTCGTGTCAAGCATCGCAGCTATAGAGATTGATTGAATGATGCAGGCAATTGGCTCGAGAGCACGCCAGAGCATGCGTGTCTTTCTGCTTTTGTCGCTTTCTGCTTTAATCGTGGGGGCTGAGGATGTGAGTGCCAATCTGCAGGTGAGTGGCGACTGCAACGATGAGTCCGGCCCCCACAATGGACTTTGGCTCTACATGGGCCAAACCGCTTCGGGGCGTCCCTACTACAAACACTCCGAGCAGCCTTACTACATGTACTACGACCCGGCCTGCGACGGTCAGGCCGAGGGCCGCTGGGTGATGGACTCCGAGGCGCCGAGTGTGACGGCGGAGGCGGATCTGGATGAAGACACCCATTGCTTCTACCACAGTCGCTACTTGGACTCCTCGATGATGCCCAGCAGTGGCGTCTGGCGCTCCTACTGTGCGGAGGTGGGCTTGGGATGGGTGGATTCCAATGTCGTCATCACCCAGGTCGTGACGACCACGACCACCACGTAACGATGATCGATGATCGCCATCAGCGAATTAGCGATCTCGTCTCTCATGTAATGATCGGAAAAAAGAAGTGGTCTGAGCAGTGAAGCACTGCGGCACGGAATTTGACAAAATTCCTGAGAGTAGTTAGAACGTGTCCAGGTGCTTCAAAGAACAACGAAGCCTTTGAACTTTGAGTGCCTAAACTGGGGCGCGTGCTGAAAAAGAGTGCTGCAAAAGAAGGAGATGGACCAGCAGATTGAGAACTATAGGATGTATTTCTGTAGGTAAATGAGAGTTCGGTGTTCTGCTTTGCGGTAGTTCAAGCCACTGGATGTCCTAGTCTGAGGTACAGCCAAGCACTTTGAGCAGGTCAGCTGCGGGAGAATGGTCAGACACATGCTTGTTCCAGACGAGTCTGTCACAGCCTGTATGTTTGGCAAAAGCAACTGACAAAGAAAGCCAGCAGGTCTTGGCGGTCGATTCAACGATTCAACAAGCAAACATATTCGGCACAAGAAGAACACGCCCCATTTGGCCAACAAATCATCTCAACTGTGGCGTGTTTTTGCTCTTGGAGCTGGGGGAAGTCCCCCCCAGGATGTGTTGTTCACGTTCCTTTTCGGGTGAGTCGCAGGGGGGGCGAGTGGCCTCTAGCATCGGCGGAAAGTTCGGTACCATGATGGCCATGGGTTTGGGAAGCCCAGCTGAGGGGCGATGCCTTGCAGACCTGACATGTCTCTGAAAGAAAACGATCCGAACTCGGATGAATTCAAAAAGCCATGAGTAGACTTTAAGATGTAATCAAGAAAATCCACGACCTGTCTTTTTTGCTTGGATGATGTATACGATGTATGCAATGGTCGATTCAGGAACGAATCCAGTTCAGACGGAAGGCTCAAACGACCTGGCCATCCTCGCTCGTGTGAGGCCACAACTCCTTTGGCTCCAAGTCCTCCAAGGGGAAGGCGCCGGCCTTCGGCCCAGAGGAGTGAGACGTGTCGGAGCGAACCTTCGGTCGTTTGCTGTTCACGGTTGGTTGGGGGGAAAAAAGAAAACAAAGCGATCCAACATCCTTTCAACATGTGCGTTTTGCGATCTACGTCTTCGGTCTTTCCCAATCGCAGAAGGGCGATCGTCGGTGCGGTGCAGGTCCATTTGCCGCAGCGCGCCCCCGGCGATCTCACCGAGGAGTGCGTCGCGGGGCACGAAGGCGTTGAGGAAAAGAAGGGGAGAAGCGTGGAAAACCACACGACTCGTGTATTAGAACCATGCAAAGCACCAGTTCAACACCAGTTCATCATCAAACATCACTCAAATCAGTTGATCATAGCTGATGACGGACTCACCATTCTTCACCAGGTGAAACACCGTGGTTTCAGGCCCCTCACCGAGTCGGATGCGGCCACCGTGTGGCGAAAAGGGGGCGGAAAAGGTCCACGACGGAGGGCCGACGGTAAAGGGAGGATGAGGAGAGATGGCAAAAGAAGCAATAGTGAAAAAGTAAATGAAAGTGAAGTATCACAAAGATGTCACAAGATTTCACAAGATATTGCTACCTTTGTTGCTGAAATATCTTTTTTTGTACTGTGCTGTGAAGGGAAAGCGTGGAGCGCCAGGAGCAACTGGCCGCACATGATGCCCAGCTGGAGGTGAAAAACGATGTGGATGATTGATGAGGGGTCACAGTGGTCACAGTGGTCCGTGAGTTGTTTGTTTTATACAGGAGGAGACGAGGAGACCCCCAATGTTTGACTCGATTATACATATATATATATAACTGTTGGTTTTGCAAGTACCTATGATATTTTTTACACCGGAGGCCAAGAGAAGAATCACATAATGCCAAATTATGAAATACATGTTTGCCTGTAGGTCCTTGGTTTCCAGGATGAGGTCCAGGTGGTCCAGGTGCCTAGGATTTTTTACTGCAAAACAAAGATGAATTGCAGGCCATCGACGAAGATAAGGAGTTGGAGTCGTAGAAGGACTCCCGGCGAACGGACATGAGGGTCGCAGGATAAGGCCCTAGAATTGGATGGATTTGCATTCAGATCTCTTGAGTCAGAATGAATTATCAGAGTTGACTAGTGAAGAATCCCCACGCAGTACAGTGAAAGTGCATTTCGAAAAGCAGACAAAAGCGAAGGTGCTCCAACAGAATGGCGACTGCCCTGCCAAATGATCAATATGGGTGGAGGAGCACTACAAGTTGCAAAAACGGAAAGTGGAGGAGCTGTTCTTTCCTCCCACCGTCCAGCCCGACTGCCCCGACTGCCCGATATCCGCACCGAACGACTCAACCACCGCCTCAGGACACCCAGTTTCACCGCATGTGCTCCAGAGCACCAGCTCGCGTGGAGGCCCAGACCGGAGTCAAGGTTTGGTTCCAGTCAGAGTGCCTTTTTCCATGACCTCAGACACCAAACCGTCAAATAGACACTCATTGAAACGGTTGGTGTTCACCCAGAGTGTGTTAAATCACCAAAACCTCACGTTCTGACAGCATCTGAGTGTGTCAAATCCCCAAAAGGTTGGGAGCTGAAACCACCAAAACCTCAAAGCTCTGACAGCATTTGACCCGCCGCACCGAGGCGATCGAGCCGAATTGGGTGGAGACCGAGCCGGTGGGAGCTAGAGTTCGCAGAAGAACAAAAAGAGTAGCTCATAAGTGGTTGGAGTTGGAGTTACTTCCGTTGGTATATAGGTCTTCTTTCACTGGTTTGAAGCAGATTTGAAGCAGATGTGGATGCTGTGCGTTGCACTTCCACAAGGACCATTGTACAAGTTCTTTCTTCATTGAGCATTCATTTCTTCTTGATTGGCCTCTGTTTGGAAGGAGTTCGCTTCACGCACGAAATTGAGCATCTGTCCTTTTTGCTTGCTGGTTTCTTCTCAAAAGCCACGAAGAAATCCTAAATTGATGTCAGACCCCCAACAGTCAACCCATGACAGAGCACTCGGACATGTTCAACATGTTCACACAAACCATGGATACTTCCAGTATACAGAAACCAGAGATGAAGAAGTAGCTATAGAATGCTATAGACATATGATAGATCAAAGCATTGCACACATTTGTCCTATCTCGCCAATGGTGCGCTTGCTGATCACAGCAGCACTTTGTTAGGATGGGAAAGAAAGCAGGGTATTTGGACCCAGATGATGAAAAGCTGAAGCAGGGACAGCAACAGCTGATCCAAGATTCGGCCAAATGGAAAGGCCCAAGCCACAAGGAGCGGCGCGAAAAGGAGGTGAAAAAAGCCATGAAGAATCGTGAGAAACCTGAAAGGGCCTCTTGGAAGCAGCAAGCAACCGGATGGTTCTTCATCGTCTTCATTTGTGGTGTCGGTTTTGTGTCCTTCCTTTTCACCATGTCCGACATCCTCATCGGCAATGGCATTGTGAATCTGGATGTCCAAGACACCAACAAGTTGAAGACGGTGCTCTTCGGTGGAGATCCTTGGCTGATTTACTGCGTGAACGACGACACGGTGAACTACCGCTTGCCGGAGGTCCTGGAACAGTCGGCGCGGAGCTTGTATCGAAGTCTGGGGGTCTCGGTGGGCGTGCTGCGCTGTTGGGAGGAAACGGCCAGTGGTCGCAGCGTGGCACAACGCTTCAAGTTGAATTTGAAGCCTCCCTTGTCCTTCGTGGTGGCCAATGGCAATAAGCCACGTGTCTTGCCGCTCACGGGGATTTCCAAGTCGGAGCACTTGGAGAAACGGATTCGTCCCGCTTTGAGCATCGAGGCGGTGCGTGTGGATGCCTTGAAGAAGTGGAGCTCCTGCACCTCGCGGCGCGCCTGCTTGGTGGTGGGCCACAAGAACACCGCGCAAAAAGACACGGCCATGAACGTGGTGAAGCCGTTGCAGGAGAAGTTTCGAGCACTCAAGGTGGTGACCTTAGACACGGCCTTTTGGCAGTTGAAGTTGGAAGAGAGTCTCATGCGGACACGTTCCAAAGAGCGGCATGGTGCCGATGTCATGTGCCTCACACGGGAAGATGTGCCAGGTGGAAACTCCACCTTTGGTGGTGCCTTTTTGTGGAGCTTGGATAGTAGCAGTGCCCAAGCTTTTATGCAAAACTGTGTGGATCACCGTGACATGGTGCCACTCAAAAGCTCGCCCAAAATCAAAGCCCGGCCATCGCCCAAGCCAAAGACGGTGGTGCCCGACGCGCCGAAGCCCAAGCCCTCGAAACCGAAGCCGAAGCCGAAAGACACGAAGAAGAGTGCGAGTGCGCGGGTGGATCAAGTGGGATCACGGGAGTCTTTGGAGAGTGAAGAGCCACTTTTTGAGGCGGTGGAAGAAGATGAAGAAGAGGAGGAAGAGGAAGAAGGTGATGAAGTGGAGCTTTGACTTTCCATTATTGGTAGTCGAGAAATGACCGTGATGCAGCTTGAAGGGAGGTCAACAAAAAGGACACAGGCCCTGAGGTGCATATTGCGGACGGCCTTGAAGGTGTGTAGGTAACTTCAGACAAGCAGACTGACACATCAGTGCTTTGTTCAGTGCCACATCTGATAGTTTGCACCGAACTGCTGCTTAAAATGTTCTTGTTGGTGGGCGCCAGGAAGCCTGTCTTACTTGATTTCTGCATCTGAATCATAGTTTCTTTGTGCTCCATGGATGAAAGTATGTCATATGTCATGCTCTGCTGGCCGGCTGGGCTCTCAGATGGGGGGTTGAAGCTGCTGGCGACGGGTCTGCCCTAGCGGCCCACAGCCTGAGGCCGTCCGTACCGCCCCGTGCGCGAAGAATACGCCGCGGTGCGTTGGATGAGTTCGGTGCGTTGGATGAGCGTTGGTAAACCTCTTTAAAGGGCCTGAGTTCCTGATGTTTGAACTTTATGAACTTATGAACATTGGACATTACAGTCCTTCAGTCATTGACTGTCATTGAATTGTCATTTAGTCGTTAGGCCTGCCGAATGATCCGTGGAAGAGCGTGTCCGCTTGCCTTTCTGCACTGATGACATGTCAAAACATGTAGCTGTCTTTCCTCCCTAGCGTAGCACTTTTGGCAGTTGCCATGCCTCCCTGCATTTGCAAAAGGACAGCACTACACTATAGCTCCAAAAAGCCATGAAGTCTAAAACAGACCGAACCAACTCCTGACCCTTTTCTTTATTTTCCAAGACCGTTCCAAGCAAACCATTTGTGCACTTGACTCGTTCTTTTCCGGGAAAAGACGTGTAAAACCACAAGAAGATGCAGTATACAAAACCACCTCCCACGGACCGCAGTTCCAACATCCACCAAACCACACTGCCCCCCTGCTGCCACCGCTCCCGCGGCGAGGCGTCGAAGACCTTCGCCATGGGCTTCTTCGCCCGGGGCGCCCAGGGTTTCGGTCCCATCGGAGGGGTTCGGTCGGTGAAACGCGTTGGTGGCATCGCCTTGACCAGGTCTGATGGACGATGTCTGAAGTAGGTAGGTATAGTCGTTTTTCATGGTTTGTCATGTCTTAAAGCCATGCATATATATATATTATTGCAATTATATAGTCTATGCAGATGTTGGACTTTTGTTGATATGTGGAGGGTTGAGGATATCAAGATTAGCTTCCGCGGTAGATGAGCTGCTGCCTTTCTTGTCTCCTTGGTATCTCGTGTTGTTTTGGTGCAACCGTATGCCCCAAACGGGGTTCGCTTGTGAGAGCCACCTGGACGAGGGTTCGGACCTCTGAGTTGCCGATAAGTCAAATGTCCACAGATCGACCTGAATCCATCGATGTGTTACGGCGTTGAAATGCACTGTTTGAACAACGTTACAACAGTTGCAAAACGTTTGAGCGTTCTTTCTCTCTTTTTGGAGGCGTTGTATTGAAGGACACGTCGTCGTGTAGTATGTCATTTGGCATTGTTGTTTGGTGTTTATTTTTTCCGTTCTGAGTGTTTGTTTTTTTTTTCCGATGTTCTTACATTCTTTCTTCCAGCGGGCTCTCCGGTGTCAGGATGATCCCAGTTATGACATCGACCTGGAGAGAAATCCGGAGCCCATGCCTCAGCATCGCCACATGTGCTTTGCTTCTCCCAACCAAAAACTCGCTCCATGTGGAGGTCCATGGAATAGGTCGTGTTTGGGATGTTTTTTTTGTATACCTTCTCGCTGGCCTTCCGTTTGCACCGACCTGTTCCATCCCTCCACGTTGCTCCGCCCACATCGGTCCGTTCACGTGTCGTCTGGCTCCGAGGATGCCAGCGGAACTGTTGGTCTCGGAGATCGGCCACAACCTGCGCTTCAAGGCGGTCCGAGATCCCTCCGCGTCGGTTTGCGGCAGATCTCGGGTCGGTTTTTATGTTTGGCTTCGAAAGATCAAAGGATCATACATATATGTTGTTTTCATGTGTTCATGTGTTTTTTTTCTCTCTCTCTCTCTCTCTCTCTTCTCCTTTTGGAAGACGTTTTTGTTCTTGGTGAACGTCTCTGTCTTGGTTGCTGAACTCTAGAAAAAGATTCCAACCGAAAGCTTCCCGGCTTCGCAAACCTCGTCGCTCGGCCTCTTGCGACCGGATCTCACGACCCGTCTCCACGCGACCGGAGACATCGCTAGCGCCTCATGATTGTCGGTCGTGTGGGTTTTAAGACTTCAAACGGTTTCCGTTGGGTTAACATGTGTTGTCCTATTGGGTTAGCATAAACTTGTTGTCCCTGAACTGGCATCTCGCAAGAGTGCTTGGGGGTTGATTGTGGTTGATTGTGGTTGATTGGATCGAGTTCACTCGACAGGGCCACTGCGTGGTGAAACTTGGAGTTGATGAGGATGTGCTCGAGCAGGCGACGGCGCCACTGTGGCTGGACCAAAGAAAAACCTCACGGACGGGAGTCGGGAGCATCATGGAGAACAATTTGTTCATGAGGAGGATAGAAGAAGCTGTGTTTGGTGCTTGCCGTACCAATACCCAGCGTGAGTCATCAACACAAGGAAAGTAAGTAGGGCCTATATGGGGTTGTTTCAAAGTGATGTGTTTTGAGCATCTTCATGAGTAGAGTCTCTAGTTCAGAACAGAAACATCAGAAACACCGCCAAAGGTCTGCAGGAGGCAACCACCTGGAGAAACCAACCGGTCAAACCAACAGATAACCATACCCCATTTTTGTGGAGTCATTCACAAACGTTGCGACACCAATGAGACACCGCGAATCTTTCACACCCGTTGGTCTTGGTCCCAACAGGCCAGTGATGAAGCGGTGGACTTGAAACGAGCTGGCAAACTGCAAGCGTCCGCCCTGCCCAGCCGTGCTGATGACGAAACGACGTCCGGCGGCCTTCGTCGTCGTGATGTCGTCGTGTGTATGTGTGTGATGGACATCTGCAAGCCATCGCATGCAATCATATACCCTATACATCTACTAAAAAACTGATTCATATATTACTGTATATATTGAAGACCCCGTGAAATCTCCTAAAACTGTAAGCAATCAAGCATGAAGTCAATGAAGTATAATGAAGTCAATGAAGTATGATGTCATCGGATGATCCCTTGGAGAATCAGAGGCACCAAACAGTCTCTCTCTCTCTCTCTCGTCCGTCAAACGAGGCCGCCACAGCAGCTCATCGATGCCTTGTTGGGCCCAGAGGCCCCACGCTGTCGTTGCCGTTCCAAAAGAAGAAAGGAACTCTTCCGTTGACACTTCTCGTGGCCTCGTGGCCCCTCACATGTCCTCGCTAAGCACGTGATTCGATGTAATTCAATCTAATTCGTTTCGTCCCCACACCAGCAACGGACGGCGCACGAGCAACCCAACCCGAGAGTTTCGCACGAGCAATTGGTCTTCCTCTCCTCGCCTCTCCAGGGCACCAACGAGTACTGCAGATTGGATCAGCTGCCGGAGGAGGGCGATGAGGTGCGACTTCGCACGACGGAGCTCGACGGTTTGACTCCACTCAACCCGACACCGGGGGTTCATCGATGCAAAGAACATTCTAGGAATACCATCAATAGGCCTTCATAGGCTTTTGGAAGGATGTTTAGCTTTGAAGAGTTGATTTAGTTTGTGCTTCATCCTTAATTTACACAAGGCTGGGGTTAGGTGTCGTTTATGTGTCCTTTTTCTGTCTTTGTATCGATTGCGACGTCAGGTTTTAAGCATAACGATCAACAACGACAGGTCGTTTCGGTGCGTGCCCTGCGGGTGCGCCCGACCGGGCTGCCGAGGATGTGGAAGTTGGCCCGGAACTCTTGGGGCTCAACCGACGCATCACCAAGATCGCAGGCGCCGTTCGTTTCCATCCGTAGCGCCAGATATCGATAGACTTGGATATGGAAAGAGACAGTATATCGTGGCTCCTTTATTATACTATGGATTATGTCCAGTGGCTCACCGAAGTGATTGGAAGAGGCTCAGGTTATGTCCTTTTTGGCTTTTCTTGTCATTGCCGCATGTTTGGTGTCCTTTGTAACCTGTGTTTCTTGTTTTTTTCCGCCAGAAGATATCGCTCTTTGAGGGATGAAACCGGTGAACAGCCGCTCAGAACACGCGAACAGCGGCGCGCGCACCAGGTGCCAGCATCGCCTTTTGCGCCAGCGAAGGCTATGACAACTGCAGCAAGTCGGGCGAATACTTAGTCCGTGGAGGCGCATGACGTGACACGCACACGAGCGGAGAGATGGGACATGAGGAGAGTCGAGAGTCGAGACATTTTGGGAAACCCAGTGGGAACTTGTGTCAACTTGTGTCAAAACCTTGAAACCTAGTAGTAACAAGAAGCTAGTAGTAACAAGTGCATCGCTACTAGTAACAAGTGCCTTACTAGTAGTAACAAGAAGCTAGTAGAAACAAGCCTTCATGGGAGCGTGAGTTTGAGTGAGCTATGGGGGTCGGGGCCTTCACGGGGCCTTCCTGGACCTGTTCATACTCCGGCGGGGTACAGGACCACTTACTGATCCCGCTAACCCCATGGCAGAAGAACTCACTCACCACCATCTGTGCTGTGACAAGCCTTAGTTTGACAACTCCCACCTAAGAGGTAACTTAATGCATACATATATTATATGAACATCATTCATTGTAAAAAACGACTCCTGCGACTCGGCTTTCATGTGATCCGCTTGCTCGAGAGGCGACTACTCGGACGAGGTAGCTGAACTTACAGAGGAGCGCAGAGCGGAGATCGGAGAAACTGTGAAAGTCTTGCCACTGTGAAAGAACGCTACTAGGAGCAAAGGGCATCGCTACTAGGAGCAAGAAGCTACTAGTGGCTCCTGGCCATACTACTGCTTTCACCCACCATGATGCCTCGTGCAGAAGTCAAGCCAATGCTTAAAGAAACTACCTGACATCCTTTCCCCTGGTCCTTTTCATGGATCCATCAAAGGCGTTTCCTTTTGGATGGAACTTTGACCCACCGAGAACCGGCCCAGGAGAGCTGTAGCGAATGGCTTTCCTTGTTAAACCGCGCTCGGCTGATGTCGCTTGGGCGATCGTTAGTGTCATGGGCGATGTTCGGGTTCAGAAATGGGCGAAGTCCGAAATGTCCGTGTTCTTGGCGTATGTTTAAAGGACCTGGTGTTCTCCAAAAAGGGCCTTTTTGACCCCCTGGTTTGAGGTCGACACCAGGGCTTAGGCCTGGAAAAGGTCACTGGATGGGACTCCGGGTGCTGACCGGATCGGCTGCGCATCTCAGGCTGGTGTACATCTTCGGGGAAGGCCGGAGCAATTTCCGGAGCGCTGAAAACAAAGAGAGTCCAATTCATGTTTACTCCGGATGGTTTGGCCAGTTCATGTCAATCCACGTTCTTGGTGTTTTTTTCTACTACTTTCTACAGTACTTTCTTCAGCCAGAAGACCAGAAAAGAGAGAGAGAGAGTTTGTGTCTCTTCTTTCCCTTCGTCCTTCGTTCCCAAGGCCGAGGGCAGCTGGAGCTGCTGCCCTTCGACGAGGACTCCGACTCGGTGGAGATCGCGCCAGGGGCCCGGAACGACTGTGGATGAGTTCCACGAGGACTACGAAGCGGCGCACTAAGGGTCCTAAGTAGATGTTCGTTATGCATAAACACAAAATATATGTATATTATTGTATGTTGTTTTGTTTATGGTTGTTTATACGGTATTTGTCTTCTGTTTTTTGGAGTCCTAAGAGGCTTCCGGATGCTCACCTGATGGTGAGGAGGTCTTGATGCCTTTAGTCAGAGGCCTGCTATTTAAGATGCGTCCTAGTGCAGGTGGCTTCTGTTCACCTCATTTGAATGGAGTTGGCTTTGGGAAGAAGCCAATATCATCCTAATATAGCGAGGACGACCAAGGTCGAGGAGAAGCTAGAGATATTTCTGCTTCAAAACGATCAGTGAAGCATTTGAACTCCTGACGGTTGTCGCCTACTAAGGACGGAGCCAGACATGCTTGTCCGGAGCTCGAGGGTCTATTTAGTTGGATTCACAGGAAGCAATAATTGGAGATCATTGGCTGATGAACTACATCTCATCTCATTTGTGTTGCCTGGTGTTGTGTGTTGTTTGTTTTTTTTGTTCAGTGTCATACAACCGACGTTGAATTGCTCAAAGCTTTTCCACATCTCCAAGGTGATCCTCCGTGCAGATCAGATGCACCACAAGCATCAATCGAGCAGAGGCGCGGACGAAGCCTGACACGTTGGCACCGACGCGGAATCGCCAGGGGTGATGGCGAGGTAGATGTCTTTACCACTGATGTCTGGTATGTTGCATTGGTGCTCGTATGTGCTGGTGCTCGTTGTGGTACGAACAAAAGGGTCCGACCAGTAGTGAATCAACCCGTGGCAACTCGTAGAGTCCATGGAGTGGAGAATGTCCAGTGGAAAGGCAGAGGTCGATATCCGAATCGTCTGATTTTCCCCTTGGTCGAGTAGTTTTTGTTCCAAAGAAGAATTCACCAAACAAATCCCGGGGGGACTCCCTCCTTTCTTTTTGCGAATCTGTGCCTTTCTTGCGAAGGTACATTTTCCATCCTCAGCTGGATCATGGCTGCAGAGAACTCCACCACCCGGGGATGGACGGGTGGACTTAGCAGGACGATTTCGTCGTGTGGAGAAGCGAACCCGTCGATCCGTCGAATCCGGAAGCGCCGTCAGCAGCGCTAGCAGCAAAAGAGAGGAGAGAGAGAGAGAGAAAATCAATTGTTTTTTTAAAAAAGAAAAAACTATTAGAATCAAATTAAAATCAAATTAACTAATAGCTTCTTGTTACTACTAGTAAGGCACTT